TGATTTGATTTGATCAAAACTATGAAATAACACATATGGAATCATGTAGTAACCAAAAAAACTAATCAAAATATATTTCATATTTGATATTCTTTAAAGTAGCCACCCTTTGCCTTGATGACAGCTTTGCACACTCTTGGCATTCTCTCAACCTGCTTCATGAGGTAGTCACCTGGAATGCTTTTTCAACAGTCTTGAAGGAGTTCCCACATATGCTGAGCACTTGTTGGCTGCTTTTCCTTCACTCTGCGGTCCAACTCATCCCAAACCATCTCAATTGGGTTGAGGTCGGGTGATTGTGGAGGCCAGGTCATCTGATGCAGCACTCCATCACTCTCCTTCTTGGTGAAAAAGCCCTTAAACAGCCTGGAGGTGTGTTTTGGGTCATTGTCCTATTGAAAAACAAATAATAGTCCCACTAAGCGCAAAGCAGATGGGATGGCATATCGCTGCAGAATGCTGTGGTAGCCATAATGGTTAAGTGTGCCTTGAATTCTAAATAAATCACAGACCATCACACCTCCTCCTCCATGCTTCATGGTGGGAACCACACATGTGGAGATCATCCGTTCACCAACTCTACATCTCACAAAGACACGGTGGTTGGAACCAAAAATCTCATATTTGGACTCAACAGACCAAAGGACAGATTTCCACCGGTCTAATGTCCATTGCTTGTGTTTCTTGGCCCAAGCAAGTTTCTTCTTGTTATTGGTGTCCTTTAGTAGTGTTTTTTTTTATTACAGAAATTCGACCATGAAGGCCTGAATCATGCAGTCTCCTCTGAACAGTTGATGTTGAGATGTGTCTGTTACTTGAACTCTGTGAAGCATTTATTTGGGCTGCAATCTGAGGTGCGTTTAATTGCCGATTTCTGAGGCTGGTAACTAATGAACTTATCCTCTGCAGCAGAGGTAACTCTGGGTCTTCCTTTCCTGTGGCGGTCCTCATGAGAGCCAGTGTCATCATAGCGCTTGATGGTTTTTTCGACTGCACTTGATGAAACTTTCAAAGTTCCTGAAATGTTCCGGATTGGCTGACCTTCATGTCTTAAAGTAATGATGGACTGTCGTTTGTCTTTGCTTATTTGAACTGTTCTTGCCATAAAATGGACTTGGTCTTTTACCAAATAGGGCTATCTTCTGTATACCAACCCTACATTTACATTTTAGTCATTTAGCAGAAATCCCACAAATTAACTTTTAGAAAGGCACACCTGTTAATTGAAATGCATTCCAGGTGACTACCTCATGAAGCTGTTTGAGAGAATCCCAAGAGTGTGCAAAGCTGTCATCAAGGCAAACGGTGGCTACTTTGAAGAATGTATTACTTTTTTGGATACTATATGATTCCATGTGTTATTTCATAGTTTTGATGTCTTCACTATTATTCTACAATGTAGAAAATAGTAAAAATAAAGAACAACCCTTGAATGAGTAGGAGTGTCCAAACTTTTGACTTGTACTGTATGTCACCAAATTATTGATTGAAACACACTGTTTTGCAATGAAGGTCTACAATAGCCTCAACAGCACTCTTTAGGGTAGCACCATGTTGTAGCCAGAGGACAGCTAGTTTCCATCCTCCTCTGGGTACATTGACTTCAAAACCTAGGAGGATTATGGATCTCACCCCCTTCCATAGACTTACACAGTAATTATTCCAACCTCCAGAGGACGTATTCCAACCTATCAGAGCTTTTGCAGCATGCACCCAATCAAAGGATCGGATAATTAATCTTGTGCTGAGAGCATAAGCTACAGGTAGCTAACACTGCAGTGCATAAAATGTGGTGAGTAGTTGACTCAAAGAGAGAAAAAATTAAACAGTTTCAAACAAATTAATTTATTCAATAATGAAGGAGAGAGAGAGAGCTAGCTATATTTCTTTGTATTTTTTATTTCACTTTAACTTACCTAGCTAGTGAATGCAGCCAGCTAATTTAGCCTACTCAAACACCTGGCTCAAACAGAGATGGATGCTATGTTAGCTAGCTGGCTATAGCTATCCAACACTGGAACTCTTCCAAGTCAAGGTAAGCTTTTGGTTTGATTAATTTATTGCCACCGGGGCCCGCTGGTGTAGCTGCTAAACTGCTTGCTGACTGTACACTGTACTGCATGATTGTAGCGGGTTTACTAACGCATTAGTTCTAGTAGCTATGTTTACTATGACAGCTTATAATAGTGACAACGATGTAGGCTGTGTGTAGCGGTTAGCGGTTATGATATGAAGGTTTGGCTTGTAAACTTTTTTGCCTGGTCACAGACAGCTGATGTGTTGTGCACTGTAGTCCACAAGCGAAGGGAAAAGGTGAGAGGAGGAGAGTGCGTAGATGCGAGAAGGAATTATAGCTACAACAATCAAAGTGATCATGCTGTTTGTATGTGGCTGCTTTGAAAGTGAACTGTTTGTGTGATAAGGGGTCTGTTCATTCCGCCGATACTGTTGAAAAATGTTAAATGGAGGCAAATGGAACAAAACTGAGATTAACATACTTGAATTTGTCTAATGATTACAACCTAGATCAGCTAGATGCAGGCAAGAGTGTGCAAGTAGGTATTGAATGTGTCACTGTCTTTCACCTTGATTACTCAAATTTCTCTTGACCTGTGCACCTACATTGTAAACTTTCATTCATATAGGCTAGGCTGTACCAACCTCATGAAATGGGTATAGGGAACATTTTAGTATCATGTAGTAGTCTAAACCTATCAATGTTACATTGAGCTGGGTGAATGGAATATGAATGACAGTCATGCAATATGCTGTAATAGAAATAAGGCCATGCTCCAAAAAAATTTACGTCCTCCCTCATCGTAAACAGCACCGACCGCAACTGTTATATACAGTTGAAGTTGGAAGTTTACATACACTTTGGTTGGAGTCATTAATACTCGTTTTTCAACCACTCCATAAATTTCTTGTTAACAAACTATAGTTTTGGCAATTCGGTTAGGACATCTACTTTGTGCATGACAAAAGTCACTTTTCCAACAATTGTTTACAGACAGATTATTTCACTTATAATTCACTGTATCACAATTCCAGTGGGAAAGAAGTTTACATACACTAAGTTGACTGTGCCTTTAAACAGCTTGGAAAATTCCAGAAAATGATGTCATGGCTTTAGAAGGTTCTGATAGGCTAATTTACATAATTTGAGTCAATTGGAGGTGTACCTGTGGATGTATTTCAAGTCCTACCTTCAAACTCAGTGCCCCTTTGCTTGACATCATGGGGAAATCAAAAGAAATCAGCCAAGACCTCATAAAATAAATTGTAGACCTCCACAAGTCTGGTTCATCCTTGGGAGCAATTTCCAAACACCTGAAAGTACCACGTTCATCTGTACAAACAATAGTACGCAAGTATAAACACCATGGGACCACGCAGCCGTCATACCGCTCAGGAAGGAGACGCGTTCTGTCTCCTAGAGATTAACGTACTTTGGTGCGAAAAGTGCAAATCAATCCCAGAACAACAGCAAAAGACCTTGTGAAGATGCTGGAGGAAACAGGTACAAAAGTATCAATATCCACAGTAAAACTGTTTGGCATTAATGACCATTGTTATGTTTGGAGGAAAAATGGGAACGCTTGCAAGCCGTAGAACACCATCCCAACCGTGAAGCACGGTGGTGGCAGTATCATGCTGTGGGGGTGCTTTGCTGCAGGAGGGACTGGTGCACTTCACAAAATAGATGGCATCATGACGAAGGAAAATTATGTGGATATATTGCAGCAACATCTCAAGACATCAGTCAGGAAGTTAAAGCTTTGTCGCAAATGGGTCTTCCAAATGGACAATGACCCCAAGCAGACATCCAAAGTTGTGGCAAAATGGCTTAAGGACAACAAAGTCAAGGTATTGGAGTGGCCATCACAAAGCCCTGACCTCAATCCTATAGAACATTTGTGGGCAGAACTGAAAAAGCGTGTGCGAGCAAGGAGGCCTACAAACCTGACTCAGTTACACCAGCTCTGTCAGGAGGAATGGGCCAAAATTCACCCAACTTATTGTGGGAAGCTTGTGGAAGGCTACCCGGAATGTTTCACCCAAGTTAAACAATTTAAAGGCAATGCTACCAAATAGTAATTGAGTGTATGTAAACTTCTGACCCACTGGGAATGTGATTAAATAAATAAAAACTGAAATAAATCATTCTCTCTACTATTACTCTGACATTTCACATTCTTAAAATAAAGTGGTGATTCCTAACTGACCTAAGACAGGGAATGTTTACTAGGATTAAATGTCAGGAATTATGAAAAACTGAGTTAAATGTATTTGGCTAAGGTGTATGTAAACTTCCGACTTCAACTGTAAATGTGATTTCAGTATTTTATTTTTAATACATTTGCTGAAAAAATCTTTTTTTATTTAAAACAGTTTTTGCTTTGTCATAATGGGGTATGGTGTGTAAATTGAGGGAAAACAACTGTTTAATCAAAATGTGGAAAAAGTCAAGGGGTCTGAATACTTTCCAAATGCACTGTATATTATAGTTAACTGTACATACTACAGTACATTATACAGTATTCACTGTAGTGTTTTTGCAGACTTTAGTCCACAAAAACACTACAGTGAATACTATAGTGTTTACACAATAGTATACTATAGTATTTTTTCATGTAGGTATATCCTAATAACTGTGACTGGTTTACTTAGTGTAGTTATTGTAAAGGTTTCTGGCAACTAATCTTCATCTGAAATCTAACAAAGGCCCAAAGAAAAGCCATCTCTATGCTGCACTTCTACTAACATTGCATGCTGTAAATATCATTTGTTTATTTAAACTGCCAGTAAGCATGAATTCAAGACTTATTTCACAGAACCATTACAATAACAATGTTATTTTGTTTGTCTGAATTGCAGATTGTTAATAGTTCTTGGGTGACTATTGGCATGTAGGTTTTCTTGGAATTTCTGGGGAAACATTTGCATGTTATTTTGGGATAGCTTTTCACATAGTTGTTGAGAAGTGGGAGGTGCATCACTCACAGGACATTGTTTCCATTATCTTCAGCTTGTGCGTCGGCCAAAGATGAGGCCTTCTGGGTCCTGTCACCATTCGGGTCACAGGGGTCAGGGAAGGACACTGAAGACACCTCTGTGGGGTCACCATCTTCTCTGTCATCGTCCCTTTTCCCATTTGTCCTACAGCAGGAGTGGCCGGAGCAGAAACTTCCATTATGGGAGATATCATAAGGGTTTTGGGGGGACTGCAGTGCCACTACTAAGGGCCGACTATGGGAGTGTCTTGCCGACAAGGGGGAGGAGCCATACTCTGAGGACAGGAGAGAGCTCATACAGGAACCCTCACTCAGGGACCACCCCAAAGCGCCACGTTTCCATGGAAACGCCTCACACCCACCAATCAGATCCCCCGTCTTGAGGTCCGTCTCGCTGTGGTGCCTTCCTGGTCCACCTTCTCCATCTTGGGGCACCGCTGTCGTCAGTTACCCTTCTATGCCTGGGGATTTGGGCGACTGGGATGCTTCTTTGGCTCCTTTGCTCCCTTTCGAGTCCGCTTTGAAAGGGAGGTTAAAACACGTGATGTGAGGGCTGTCCCTTGCACGGCTGTCTCTGCTCTCCATCTGTTCCACGGAGGCCCTCTCTGAGTTATTGGCAATATCGGGCACCCCTGGATGGGAGGTTGAGGCTTGGGTGAGGGAGCAAGGGGCCACCACCTTCTCCTCCTTCTCTTTCTCCCTCTCCTTCCCTGTCTCTAACACCCTGCTCTTCACTTGAGCTCCGCCGGCTGTGTGTTGCTGCTGGTTTTGTTGGCTGCATTCCCCTGCTGCTGCAGTCTCTCCCCCAGCCGCTGGCTGACTTCCTGGTACTGGAACCAGACTGCATTCCACAAATTCATCCCCCCAGAGCCCCTCATGCTGCAGGCTTTGATCTTCTGGAAGTGTCGGGCCGAGAAGCAGTCACCCAATCTCTCCTCGTAGGTCTTAAGCATGCTTAGATTGGCTTTGGCAGGATAGCATCCTGTCTCTACCTGCTCCAGATATTGCCTGCATTCCTTGGCAAAGGCAGCAGCCTAGAGGAAACAGTACAGAGATCAGTGTTATTTTAGAGGTGTTAGAGAAGTTATATCTTGGATGGGGAGTCAGGGTTCTAAAAAGATTGATGGGAATATTGATGACTGTTGTGGTTAGGGGTTAAAGAGGGGGCCTGTCCGCATATTGTGAAAATGTATCAATCCATACGTGATATGAGTTACAACAGACAACATGGTGGTTGTGGTGGTAAAAGTAATATGGTTGGAGAAATTAAGCAGAGTTAGGGTCAATTTTATATCAATTAGAATTAGTTGACATTCCTCCATAAAAGTGAGATACATTTCTTGCAATTGGGAGGAATTTAAATGGAATTAACTCACTAAGAAAGAAGGTAAGGACTTAAGAAAGGAAGAGAAGGAATGGAGTATTTGTCAGAGTATTTTGACAGGTCTTCCTCAACTTCCTCAACTAACCTCTTCACAGAAGCGGTAGACATGCACCATGTTGTCAAGCTCGGTACGCCGTTGCTCGGCGCGCAACATAAAGTCGGCCATATTGGATTTGAACGTGTTCATCAAAGTCCTAAAAACCTCAGTCTCGGGGTTGGAGTTGGTGGAACCCAGAATCTTCTCCACCTCCATCACCAGGGTCAAGGTCTTCTGTTTCTTCTCCTATGATGAATAACGAAAGATGTCAACATTTCCACCACCATATTTTACAGTAGGGTTATTTTCTGCCTATGCATCCTTATTTCAATGCTAAACCCAAAGAGCTCTATTTTCATGTCATCCTACAAATGTAAACGCCTGGAATTTGCTAAACGGCATTGGCACCAGGATTGTAACCGGTGCTATGGTCAGATGACATGAAAATAGAGCTCTTTGGCCACCACACCCGTGATGGGTTTGGCGTCGAAATAAGGATGCATAAACATAAATTTTATCTCCAATCTCATAAAACCATTTAGGAAAAGGCTCAGTGCCGTTATCCTCCCAAGGTGAGGTATTGGAAGGTATTAAAAACAGGGGGTCCAATACTTTTGACCCCTATCTTTTTGAGAAAAATTATATTACTTGTTTAACAAAATATCTTTATCTGAGCAATTGTCTTAGCATACAATATAGCTCAGTATTTGTATTTATTTTATAGTATTTTTTGCTAATCTTTATCAAGGGTGCAAATATTTCTGGACCTGACTGCCTCATGAGCTTAGTTAATTTGTCTAACCCCAACCCAGCTGTACCTTGGCCTGAGTGAGGACGGTGTCAAAGCGCTGAAAGGCTTGGTTCACACTCTCCAGGGTGTCCTCAGTGGAGTTGGAGTCCTTCAGCCGTTGCTCTCCTTCTGTATTGAACCATGCCATTGCCTAAAAGGTACAAATTCAGATAGGGAATTATACATCATAAGGCATACTAACAGACCCAGGTGAAAATAGTATTTGTTTTCTTTCAATAATGTTAGGTGTGCTTGATTATACTACACAATATACTTCTAGCTGAATGTTCTGTAAGGTTACAACCTCCTGACCTACCATATTGAGATTTGACTCCGCCTCCCTGAGTTTGAGCAGGAAGTCCAGATGCTGTAGTGATTCATTGGACCTCATCACCAGGGTATGAACACTCTCTTCCATCTGGTTATATAGGACCGTCACTGACTCCAAGGCATCCCTGAAATGAGAGGTGGACGTTGGCAAACATTCACTCCAGTCTTTTCCTCTCCACCTTGATAGATGATGTGTGGTCAGTGGTGTTCCGGCAGAAAATGGCTGCCTTGGTATCACCTAGATCCCTCAAACTCAACTCTGGACCACTGCATTTTTTTTATTGTTCCCCTCTAATCAGGGACTGATTTAGACCTGGAACACCAGGTGTGTGCAATTAATTATCAGGTAGAACAGAAAACCAGCAGGCTCCGGACCTCGTAGGGTAAGAGTTGAGTACCCCTGACATACGGTAGATGGTTGCTACCATAGAGATGGATAGAGGGCTCACTTGCCAAGAAGCCTGTTTTAGAATGGGCAATGCAAAGGAGGGCAAGTAGTCAACTAGGTAGGTGAGACATAGAAGCAATCAATGGCAAAGATAGGTGTGCCCTCTTTCCATCTCTAAGGGTACTACACACAGTTAATCGCAATAATTTATGAATTAGATAAAGAACAATACCTGTAGTCGTCGGACTTGGTAAATCGAAACTCCTCCCTCCTCATTCTGGTCAGGATGGTCTCACCTTCTCTCTGTAAAGGGACCAATCGGGCATCCTGCAGCACCTCTTTCATTGAGGTCTTCTGATCTTGAATACATAGCTGCACATCCTGAACCAAAAAGATAATCAGCTCTGAAAAAATAATGCTATAGACTTATATTATTTTTAATTTATAATTGTAATGCACTACCTGGTCGGTGTCCGTTTTTGGATTACCATCAATTTTCTTGATTGCTCTACGTAGTAAATCGGCTGCCCCTTGCAAGTCCGACACAAAGGAAACCAGTTTCTGAAACATAGGAAAAATATTTTAGGATTCAGACTCATCCCAAAACATGGCTGATGCAATAGATTTGGGGAATTTATGGTTCAGAATAGCAAAGACAACGGCCACGCGATTCCGAACAAGCTCACTTCCAAACCGATTTATTGCCTACTATCCGTATGCCCGTGTTGACTAGCCCTTGCGAATTTGAAAGAATTGGAAATGTATTAGCAAGAGACATATTCCCTATATCTACCCAGTTCTTTTCAGATCGGTGAGGGGGTAAGCAACAAGGCCCTAGTGATAGGGCCAAGTGATCCGTATAGAACTATAACGTGTTCATAATCACAATCGGTTTCATATTCAACATATTAACGTGAGTTAATCTGTGTTATAAGAGCAATCTCCAGTGGGTGTGGTAGAACAGCTGCTTACTTTACTGGAAACTAAGTGAATAATGTGTCATCATGTGGGCGCTACTGGAATGATACAGTGGAATGTATTGTAAATGCATGGACTTTGAGATTTTACATTTTAGTAATTTAGCAGACGCTCTTATCCAGAACGACTTACAGTTAGTGAGTGCATATATTATTATTTTTCATACCCCCGTGGGAAACGAACCCACATCCCTGGCGTTGCAAACACCACGCTCCACCAACCGAGCTACATCCCTGCCGGCCATTCCCTCCCCTACCCCGAGCCAATTGTGCGCCGCCCCATGGGTCTCCCGGTCGCGGCTGGCTACGACAGAGCCTGGATTCAAACCAGGATCTCTAGTGGCACAGCTAGCACTGCGATGCAGTGCCTTAGACCACTGCGCCACTTGGGAGATCCTGGTTCGAATCCACTTCCACACTTACACTACCAACACTAGAGCTACGTTACACTATCTACAGGTCTGGAAACAGTAACCATTAATCTATCCATAGTGGAAAGCAACAGATGCATTGACTAACTGTACATAGTTATGGAACCTCCTCTAGTACTATAGTCAGCTACACAGTGGTTTACACGTGAGCTCTACAGTAATGCCTGACACTCTAAGGGCCGTATTCAGTCTGGATCGCTGAAGCGTTACAGATTGCGTGATAGAAATGTAGATTGAGTCGACATATGCAGTGTTTACAGTGAATGCAGTCTCCACTAAACGGGGGAACATTGCCTTCAAATTTCAATCATGCTGGAACGTTGAACTTCCGCGATACGGATTGAATAGAGCCCTAAATCCCACAACAGTCCAACAACGAGTGATATAACCAATGGGTCACAAAGAGGAGTGTATAACGGTCTGTCTCCATGATGAGGATACAGTCAGGTCAGGCTCCATGATGGGGATCCAGTCAGACCAGGTCAGGTCAGGATGTCAGGTCAGTCTCCATGATGGAGATCCAGCCAGACCAGGTCAGGTCAGGATGTCAGGTCAGGTCTCCATGATGGGGATCCAGCCAGGTCAGTCTCCATAATGGGGATCCAGCCAGGTCAGTCTCCTAGATGGGGATCCAGCCAGGTCAGTCTCCTTGATGGGGATCCAGCCAGACCAGGTCAGGAGGTCAGTAGTCATACAGAACATTCAGCTAGAAGTATGGTACCTATTTTACAATCTCTGTAGTATTTCTCAATTCTCAACTTTGGTGAAGCCTACCCCTCCCATCCAATCTATGCATTTTGATGCGACCTCTGAGGTGAAGTACTTGGCCATGCAGGCCTCCTTGATGAAGGGTCTTCCTGCCTCCTTCAGCCGGGCAGCATTGTAGGTCAGCAGCCTGGCAGCCTCTATCTTGGTGGCTACATGGGCAATCTGGTGCTGCATGGCCTGGAAGTCGAAGATGCGTTTGCCAAACTGAACCCTCTGTCTGGTGTAGGGAACCGCCTGGTCGAAGCAGCCCTGAGCCAGTCCCAGCATCTGAGCAGCGATCCCAATCCTGCCTTCATTCAGCATGCCGATGGCGTACTGGTATCCATGGCCGATCTGACCCAAGATGTTCTTCTCAGGAACCTTGATGTTATCCAGGTTGAGAGGACAGGTTGAAGAGGCTCTTAGACCCAGTTTGTTCTCCTTCTTGCCGTTCTGAAGCCCCTCTGTGTCTCTGTCCACGATGAAGCAAGTGATACCTCTGTGACCAGCAGACGGGTCCACGTTGGCCATCACCAGAAACACCCCAGCTTGCTCTGCATTACTGATCCACATCTTGGAACCATTGATGACGTAACAGTCCCCGTGTTTGTCAGCACGCGTCTTCAGAGAGAAGGCATCGCTCCCCGACTCTGTTTCTGACAGGCAGAAACTACCAATCATGTCTGTTGACAGTCGGCTGAGGTACTGTTCTTTCTGGGCTGCGGTCCCCAGCTTGGTGAAGAGCGTGTTGATGAGGGTGTTCTGGATGTCACATAGCACGGCCACGGAGGCGTCCACCTTGGCCAGCTCCTCAATGACCAGGATGGAGGAGAAGAACGTGGAGCCGGTGCCTCCGTACTCTGGGTCGATCTCAATGCCCATCAGCCCCTGTTCAAAGACTGACTTTATCACTTCCGGATCCATATGAGAGTTTTCGTCCATCTTCGACACAAACGGGGTAAGACGCTCCTGTGCAAACTTTTTCACAGCATCCCTCATCATCCCCTCCTCCCCAGAGTATGTCTGTAGTGGAGGGTGGGAGACCCCCAGGGCAGCAGCCTGCTCTGCAGACACGTCTGGTTGGGTGGATATGTTCCGCAGCCCATGCTGGTACACACTCCATGGTCGGGACACCTGCCTACCAACCTTAGAGATGGACCTGATCAAGGGCGTCGCCATGGTTTCGGTGGACAATGGACAATGCATTGGTATTATAGTGAAATTAACACAAGTAAATAATCTACAATAGCATTGAAGTGAGCAACTATCAACGACAATGTAAAATGTTGATGACACTTGTATAACAGATTTAATTAACTTCTAGAAATCTTGACCATACTACCCGGGTAGACTGAAGCTCATTTAAAGAGGCCATTACATATGCAAAACCCATTTATAAATATTATACTGCACCTGGTGAAACTGCAGCCAATCAGTGTGGCTGTAGGGAAAGTTCCCGCCTAGGTCAGAGGTCAGCTGTTGTCCCTCCACCGTCTTGTGCAGGGCCTTCAGAGAGGTCACCACGTCCATCTGATTGACGGTAGTCATGAGGGGAGGGGTCAGTCATATTACAGATAGAGGGCCTGACAATGTGGACGTGTCTCAATAGTCACAGATAGCATCCTTGAAGACACATCCCTCCTATTGCTTTCAGATTAGTTGAAGGAGAAGATGGAGAGGAGACACTGACTTTTAGACTATTGGGACACAGCCATGGAGTCTTGTAAAACAGGATTGTGTGTGTGTGTGTGTGTGTGTGCTTGTGAATGTGCTTGCCATGTGTACATGCGCATGTATGTGTTCTCTGACCTGTAGCCCAGGGTGTCTTTCAGGGCGAGGGCTTGTGTCTTTATCCACCAGCATCAGCACACTATGAACTGCATGCAGGGCTTGCAGTTCATGTCAGGACAAGGCATCATGCAAGGTCATCATAATGTTTTCTTCACTATAGGGATTCACATTTGTATGTGTCCCCAAGATGTGTTTAAATAGTCTGTAAATATCTATGAGAGAAAGTGATAGATCATTGTCAATGACATAATTGACTACTGTGCAGTGGACAGAAATCACTATGAATTCATAAAGGATAAATTGGGTGAAGTCAGTCATGTACAGCAACCAATATTTGAACGCTGAGTAACTAGATACACCACAATCAGCTCTTTATCTCAGAATCTAAATGGGTGGATTATAGTTTGACAGTTGATTTATTATGATGTGATGACTCTTATTTTCCTAACCTGAAGCATCATTAGGAGGAAACAGGAAAGCGTGTTGGGGCACATTAAAAAGTTGTTCAAACTTTCCTGGAATTTGAAGTGTTATTTGAGCGGTTTTAGTGGTTTCACCTCTCCCTCTGACTGTGTCTGTCCGTCTCACGCACGCACATGCACACACAGTCCCCCCCCCCAACACACCCCTACCGTAATTACTCCATCTTAGGTTACCAGTTGGGGCTGTCTGTTCTTTAAAAGCCTACACAACAGACAGTTGGCAGTCAGCCTATGGCCTGCAGGCTATAGTGTTGTCATTGTGGTTTGTCAGGACGGGATGCCTCTTAAAGGGTTAAATGAGGGACATTAAGGGGACAACATTAAAGGGCTAATCTGTTTTAACGAGACAGCCGTCACCTTGAATTTCAAAGTGTGTCCATTAAAGCTGTGTAAATGGATTAGACTGTAAAATGTGTATTATGAGGACATTTGGCTTTTAAACAGCTCCGGCTGCGATACCAGTGTCAGCTGGGGGTAAAGCTATAGCGTTAACTGAGAACACAGTGGATGGCGTGTCTTTATCTTTTAATCTGTTTTAGAAGTGGGAGACTATGGCCCTGTTCAAAGACTTTAGAACTGCATCTTTCCTTCCTTACTTCTTCCATTGGAGTAATCCCTGATAAGATAGGACAAAGCCCAAATCCCCGTCATTCGCAGGAGAAAGAGACGGAGATATCGTGGACGTAGGTCGTGGTGCCTTGTAAGGATCCGACTGCGAGCGAGTAAACTGCCTTTCCATCAATCCTATTAGCCAATCTTTAATCATTTGAAAATAAATTAGATGACCGAAGATTACGGTTATCCTACCAACGGGACATTAAAAACAGTAATATCTTATGTTTCACTGAATCCCAGAAACCCTAGACCCACTCCAATTAGCATACCGCCCCAACAGATCCACCTGGCCGTGTGGTGCCAGGATAACAACCTCTCCCTCAACGTGACCAAGACAAAGGAGATGATTGTGGACTACAGGAAAAAAAAGAGGACTGAGCACGCCCCCATTCTCATCGACGGGGCTGTAGTGGAACAGGTTGAGAGCTTCAAGTTCCTTGGTGTCCACATCACCAATGAACTATCATGGTCCAAACACACCAAGACAGTCGTGAAGAGGGCACGACAAAGCCTATTCCCCCTCAGGAGACTGAAAATATTTGGCATGGGTCCTCAGATCCTCAAAAGGTTCTACAGCTGCACCATCGAGAGCATCCTGACTGGTTGCATCATCGCCTGGTATGGCAACTGCTCGGCCTACGACCGCAAGGCACTACAGAGGGTAGTGTGTACGGCCCAGTACATCACTGGGGCCAACCTTCCTGCCATCCAGGACCTCTATACCAGGCGGTGTCAGAGAAAGGCCCTCAAAATTGTCAAAGACTCCAGCCACCCTAGTCATAGACTGTTCTCTCTGCTACCGCACGGCAAGCAGTACCGGAGCGCCAAGTCTAGGTCCAAAAGGCTTCTCAACAGCTTCTACCCCCAAGCCATAAGACTCCTGAACAGCTAATCATGGCTACCCAGACTATTTGCACTAAACCCCCACCCCCACCCCATCTTTTTACGCTGCTGCTACTCTGTTAATTATTGATGCATAGTAACTTTAACTCTACCCACATGTACATATTACCTCAACTACCTCAACTAGCCGGTGCCCCCGCACATTGACTCTGCACCGGTACCCCCCTGTATATATAGCCTCCCTACTGTTATTTTATTTTACTTCTGCTCTTTTTTTCTCAACACTTCTTTGTTGTTGTTGTTTTATTTTACTTTTTTATGAAAAAATAAATGCATTGTTGGTTAAGGGCTGTAAGTAAGAATTTCACGGTAATGTCTACACCTGTTGTATTCGGCGCATGTGGCAAATAAAATTTGATTTGATTTAATTTGATTTGAATTTCACTATACACAGTCCTCAAACCATGTCAGTTTCGCTGATTACTTCAAGGAAGGGGCGAAGGAAGGATGCATTAAGTATTCGAAAAGGGCCCTACTAGTGTTGCGTGAAACATAAGATGGTGGTATTTCACTGCCCCCCTGTGGTGAAAAGATATAGCCAAAAATCCATGACAAATGTTTTGACAACATGCATTAAAATGTGCTGATAGGGTTACCTAAATGACTTCCAAACAATGTAAAATATTCACGTCCATTTCATAGTTTCATCTCACATAATGTGTGTTAACAGTGTGTATTACAAGGACACACAAAAAAAGCATGAATCACAATTATAGTAAGGTAAGAGTGGAAAGACCAGGCCCCGGTTTCCCGATACTGATGGGCTTATGAGTGTTTTAACGATGCATCATCCCTACAATGGCGGAAACTGTAACATGCATTTCCCAAAACACCACGCTGAAAGAACATTTGCTAAATGCGTCGTTGGCGCATGTATCAATACTGATATGATCGAAACAAAGGCATTGCTGCTCTCGGATTAGCTTTCTCCATTAACATTTTACCTTAACATTATAATTATTCCACAATACTGATAAAGTATCAGCTCCTAGAGAGATATTATCACTTAGGCCTATATCGCTGCAAATATTGAGGAAGCTTATTCTAATGCTTAACCAATAATAATGCACTAAATCACAGATTTGGTACATCATTGCGGACATGTTGTTACACATCATGAAATATACTGAACCAAAATGTAAATGCAACATGTAAAATGTTGGTCCCATGTTTCATGAGCTGAAATAAAAGATCCCAGAATTTTCCAAACGCACAAAAAGTTTATTTTCATCCCTGTTAGTGAGCATTTCTCATTTGCCAAGATAATCCATCCACCAGACAGGTGTGGCATATCAAGAAACTGATTAAACAGCATGATCGTTACACAGGTGCACCTTGTGCTGGGGACAATAAAAGGCCACTCTAAATTATGCAGTTTTGTCACACAACACAATGCCACAGATGTCTCAAGTTTTGAGGGAGCGTGCAATTGGCATGCTGACTGCAGGAATGTCCACAGGAGCTGTGGCCAGAGAACTGAATGTTAATTTCTCTACCATTCTCCACCACCTTCGATGGCCACTGGCACGCTGGAAGTGTGCTCTCCGCAGATGAATCTGTACCAGGCAGATGACAGACAGCGATGACAGACAGCGTGTATGACGTCGTAGGGGCGAACGGTTTGTTGTTGTCAATGTTGTGAACAGAGTGCCCCATGGTGGTGGTGGGATTATGGTATGGGCAGGCATAAGCAAATAGTCCTGGTAGTCATTTGATTAGCTGGTCAGGAGTCTTATGGCTTGGGGGTAGAAGCTGTAAAGAAGCCTTTTGGACCTAGACTTGGCGCTCCAGTACCGCATGCCGTGTGGGATCAGAGAGAACAGTCTATGACTATTGTGGCTGGAGTCTTTGACAATTTTTAGGGCCTGCCTCTGACACCGCCTGGTATAGAAGTCCTGGATGGCAGGAAGCTTGGCCCCGGTGATGTACTGGGCCGTACGCACTACCCTCTGTAGTGCCTTGCGGTCGGAGGCCGAGCAGTTGCCATACCAGGCGATGATGCAACCAGTCAGGATGCTCTCGATGGTGCAGCTGTAGAACCTTTTGAGGATCTGAGGACCCATGCCAAATATTTTCAGTCTCCTGAGGGGGAATAGGCTTTGTCGTGCCCTCTTCACGACTGTCTTGGTGTGTTTGAACCATGATAGTTTGTTGGTGATGTGGACACCAAGGAACTTGAAGCTCTCAACCTGCTCCATTACAGCCCCATCGATGAGAATGGGGGTGTGCTCGGTCCTCCTTTCCTGTAGTCTACAATCATCTCCTTTGTCTTGATCACGTTGAGGGAGAGGTTGTTATCCTGGCACCACACGGCCAGGTCTCTGACCTCCTCCCTATAGACTGTCTCATCGTTGTCGGTGATCAGGCCTACCACTGTTGTGTCGTTGGCAAACTTAATGATGGTGTTGGAGTCGTGCTTGGCCATGCAGTCATGGGTGAACAGGGAGTACAGACGTCCACGTCTTCGGCACCCGTGGAACAGTGAACTGTAACTCAGTAAAATCTTTGAAATTGTTGCATGTTGCATTTATATTTTTGTTCAGTGTATATTAAGTTAAAGTTCACAGGCAGTGCAGCCTACAATTAGCAAAACAGAACTACTTTGACTGAATATGAAATTGATTTAAACATGATTGAATATATAGGCCTTTGTAGCTAATAGCCTAATAGCGTGTTGCTACGGTGTTCCCTTATGAATACGCCACTGGTCCACACTTTCTCTATCTCTCCATGACACCCTCTATTGTCCCCTCCACCCCCAGGTAGCAGAGACAGGGTGGGCAGGGCCGTGCTGGAGGTCCATGGGGACAGGCAGGCCTGGATGTCTCCTCTGCTGTCCGCCCAGGAGGTGTGTAAAGTGCTACTCTACCTTCACTCCATCCCCAGGTAATACCAATCAATCCCTAGTCATCTTCGGTGATATTTCAAGGGAGTTTACTGTATTTGATTTTGTACAGGGTGTATGTGATCAACTGGTCTGTGCCCAGTTTCCCAAAAGCAATCTTATTAAAGTTGACTGTAAATACAAAGTTAGCAATGTCTTTGCAATTGTTTCAAACAAGCAAAGGATAA